AATATGAAATAAGAGGAAGTCAAATTGATGATAGTAAAATTGGATTTGAATAAAGACTTTTTGATAACTGTAAAATTAAATTTTAAGAAGGACAATATAATCTAACAATTATGTTAGTAATTAATAAAAGACGAATTTGTTATAGGAATAAAATTTTTACTAAGTAGAAATGGAAGTTTAACAATTTACCTGTGATCTTATAATTTTTGGAGCAGATACTTCTATTATTAATACTATAGAATCATCAGAGTTACGAGCGAAGCATGATGGACCCTTACATTCGCAATCAAAAAGAGAATCATAAGATGAAAATTTAGATTATCTAGAATATTTAAAACATTCATCTTTAGAAACCTTAAAGACTGATTTCATACCAAAAACCAAAGAATTAATATTTTTTAATAAAACATCATCTAAGGTTGATAGAATAGATAGAATTTTAAAATTAGCTAAAAGAATACAGATAATAGGAGAAGACACTATTTTCACCAAGTCTCCCTATGAATCCTGTGTAAATTAATAAATTATCTTCATCTCATTTCATTTGATATCATTTGGTTTTTATTCCTATTTTAATGTCTGTATAAAAACTTTTTGTTCTAACTAAATAATATGGTGTAAATATATTATTCCACATTTATTATTCATGTCTAATTCTATGCTTCCTAATAATCCTTGTTCTATGTCTGTAAATCTACTATCACATAAACATACTAGTACTTTAGCTTCTAAATTTTCTCTATGAAATTCTTTTACTCCTATTATTATTAATCCTAATTGAGTATGTTGAAGATTTTTATTAACAATTTCTTTATAAGATTATTTTTCTATTACATCCAGGAATATAAATTGATCTTCATGTATACAAGAAACATATCTTCCACCATAATGTTGATATATTAAATATTTGCTAAACAAATTCCCTGTTTATATATGTGTAAAGTTTTCACTAATTTTAATTTATTTTGTGTAAACGTCTCTATGTGTTCTTCTATATCTA